CCTTTTTCCTTTGCAGCTCTTAATATTCTTTTTTTAACCTGTATATTTTGTGTTTTGATTATTATATGGAGAGGAGATGTTTTTCTTTGATCCAGTCTGTTTGGTGTTCTGTATGCTTCTTGAATATTTAAATGAATATCTTTCTTTAAGTTGGGAAAGTTTTCTTCCATAATTTTTTTTGAAAATATTTTCTGGGCCTTTGAGCTGTGACTCTTCTCCTTCTTCTATTCCTATTATTCTTAGATTTGGTTTTTTTATTGTGTCCCATATTTCCTGAATGTTTTGTGTTGAGAATTTGTTGGCTTTGCTGTTTTCTTTGATCATTTCGTTTATTTTCTCTATGGTGTCCTCAGCATCTGAGATTCTTTCTTCTAGTTCTTGTATTCTATTGATTATGCTTGTTTCTGTAGACTCTGCTCGTTGATCTAGATTTTCTATATCCAGCTGGTCCTCAGTTTGTATTTTCTTCCTTGCCTTCATTTCAGTTTTCAATTCTTGAACTGTTTCCATTACCTGTTTGATAGTTTTTTCTTGGTTTCCCAGGGTATCATGTACGTATTTACTCATTTCTTCAAACTTTTTGTTATACTTCTCATCCATTTTTGTAAGGGCATTTTTTACATGTTATTTAAGGGACTCTATTGCCTTCATAAAGTCAATTTTTTCCACTTCTTCTGTGTTAGGTTGTTCAAATACTTCTGTTGTAAGATCATTGAGTTCTGGTGTTTTCATGTTGTTTTTGAGATTTTTGGGTGAATTCTTGCCTTTGCGCCTGCCCATCTCCTCCTATTGATCCTATCTAATGGGTTTTTTAAAAACCGGATCAGGTTTCCCTGCTGGCCAAGGGCTCCACTTACAAAATGCCCTCGCTCTGTTTCCTGGTTCCTGCCGCTGGCCAAGAACCCTCTCATCCCTCCGAAGGGTCTTCAGGACAGGACCAGGCTCCCCATGTGCCAGTGACCTGGCCAACCAAAGGCCTACCTCTTTGATTTAATTGTAGTAGGGCGATCTGCTCTCCTTATTGCATGCCTGTCCCCACCGCTTGGGTCTGCCGCCGTGCCGGTCCCCCAAAGCTTCTTCCTGAATGCGGTGTTGCGCTGCCGAGTCTGGCCGCCGTGCTGCCGCGTCTGGCTGCCTCGCCGCCTCTGCGCGTCTGGCTGCCCCAAGCAATATTTTAAATAATAAAGTTTCTGTGTGTTTATTTTGGTTCTAGGTGGATGGGGCTAATAAGCGGCCTTCTCCTACATTGTTTTAATCACTATTTTACAGAGCAGAGAAACAAATATTGAAAAGATGTGACAAACTACATAATATATCAATTGGGGAATTAGCTCATACTTGAATTACAGTATTCTGATTCTAGAATACACAAAACACATCACCTCATATCAGTAATAGTCTGTGTAAGTATTAAACTAAATCTAAATATCACTAAATCAAAATGTCAACAAATGACATTTTGAAATCAATTTTCATCTTATTGTACAAATCCATTCAACTGTGCCGTCTTACTGTACAAATGAAATCCATGTTTCTATTAGTTTTGAATAGCCTATGTAGTGAACCAGAACAGCCAAGTTGTTCTCAGTTATCACAAATTGGCAAAATTGTAAATATTAAAATTATTTAAGTTAGTAGAAACACTTAAATTGTACTTAGAGTGTTCTGTGTTGAAGAATTTTACATATAACAGCTTCCTATACTGCCCTAAGAATCCATAGGGCAGGCTGTTCCTATAATTCCATCTTCAGAGATGGAAAGACATAAGCACAAACAAAAGAAGTTACTTTCTCAGGGTCACAAGATCCGTGATTGGCCGTGTAAGTATGTAAACCTAGACAAGAGACACTTGGGTTTGTGTGCTAGGACTGATGAGACAAAATCCCCCAAATGGCTCTTTTTCATGTAATGGTCTTTAATATGCATTATAAAAATTATTTCTCATGTTTGCAAATTTTTTAAATTTTATATGCTTTGAATAAACAAAGAAGAAAGTTTCCAGTGACAGCATATTTGCCAAACCTTTACCAAAATAAATTTATAGTACAGACCCAGGAAAGAATGATGTGATACTATTGTGAAAACCAAACAACTTTCATTTAACATGTGGTCACACACTAGCACAGGATATTCACACACATTAACACAGTTCTGTCATGAGAACACACACCGTTGCATGTGACCTGTGCTGACACACTAGTGCGGAATATCCACACACGTTATCACAGTTCTGTCATGAGAACAGACATGTTTCATGTGACCTGTACTGACACACTAGTGCAAGATAAACACACACATTATTCACAATCATGAGGGCTAAGAAGTCAGAAGACTATGGAAAAGCGGATAGTCCCAATGGGTCTTTGAGATCATTGGATTTTATGTTCTTTATTTAACTACTGGTAAAATAAATGAAGCACAGAGAAGAAGTTGGCTTGCCTAGATTTCATTTTACTTGTAAAAATGAGTACAGATTTTCAACTAAAATAATATTGCTACACATATCACACTATTTTTAAACACAGAATTAATAAAACAAACATTGGAAAGTGGATGAAAAACTTAAAAATTCTTTATTCTTGACTGTAATTTGAACAGTTGAAAATTGCCTTTGCATATTTTACCCACAGTGAAACTGTCATAACATACACAACAGTTACTCTGGATGTCCTCTTCAGTGAGGTCCTACTATAACACTTTCTATCTTTCTAAGACATTGGAATCCAAAAAAATCCAGTTAAAAATAGTCTGTATGAAGATATTTACCCTAAAAGATTGGACTCTGCATAGGGAAGCCAAGGGTGTTTTTTGACCTCTATGCTATATGTCCTCTCCAAAGATCTGACTAGCATTTCTCTTCTCTCTTCCTCTCTCCCTCTGTCCTTCTCTCCCTGTCTCCCTGTCTTGCCCTGCTTCCCTTGCTCTCTCTCCCCAGCTCCTATAGTCTACACTCATGCCACAGTTCCTCACCTTGATCTATCAGCACCCTTGCTGTGCCTGACTGCTAGCAGGAAGAAACTCTCAGCAATTTTTATGCGTCATCAGAACCCTGAGGGACTGTGGCAGATGACTGAACAAGCAGCTAGAGATTATCATTAGGGTGTGCAATCTGCACTAACTCCTCTTAATTTAGTGAGAAACTAGTTAATAAGTTGTCAGGTCATTCCTGTAATTATTCTAACTTGTTTCAAGGAAAGGGAAAGTATGCTTATTGTCACTACAGAGAACCACTGAACCAGTTATGAAGCAATTTATTTGTTTATAAAACTATGAAAATATCTGTCTCCATTACAAATTGGCCATAACACTGTGAAAATAGCCTCTCTCAGTCGCATTGTTATATAAAGACACTAACAAGATCAAAGGTTCTTGACAAGTATTCTTAATTTATTTTGACTTTTAATATAAAATTGATTACTGAATCATACTGTAAACTTTCTTTCATATTAAGTCTAAATCATCTATGTCTTAATAACACAGTTGCTATTAATATTCCATTCTTTTGCTGTTCCCTAGCTTATAAATAAAGCACTTGTTTAAACGGGGAAACATTTACTTTGTCTTGCTTTGTTCAACAGTTTTTAAAATGAAGCTCATTATTTGTATTCTCTTAAATAGTGTGAGAATTCTCTTTTAAAAAAGTCTGGTGGAAGTCTTTTAGTAAAACTTAGTAAAAACTGAAAGCAGGGTAGAAAATTCCATAATAATGCCTGAAATATACACTCTATATTTTCTTTACATTTTTACAAATCTGGAACAGTTTAAATTTTTATTGTTTACAAAATGATTGTATAAAATTCTTAAACAAATGGCTTAATTTTATATTTTATTTTCATTTTTGAGAGTCTCTGTTTGATGTGTGTGTGTGTGTGTGTGTATGTGTGTGTGTGTGTGTGTGTGTGTGTGTGTGAGAGAGAGAGAGAGAGAGAGAGAGAGAGAGAGAGAGAGAGAGAGAGAGATAGTGCAATTTTCTGAAAATAGCCACTAGGTCAAAATCAACCTTATACGACAAATATCTACCATAAATGTTTGGAGCTCCATATGGATATTTCTTGATGGCAGAATGTCTGCTATATTGCATGCTATTTGAGTTGGAGTCTATAATTTATTCACTTGTAAAACTCTGTGGGGAATTTTGGTGAAGTATCCCTCATTCCTTCCTCATATAATGATATTTGTATTGTTCAAAAAATACAGAGTAAAGCTCTTTGTTAGAGGCAATCAGTACGTATCAGGCAAAGAACACACAAACTGCAGACAAGTGAGAAACTCAAACCACAGCACTCACTCTTGGTCAATTTTACTCCAGGAGAAGTACTTAGCTTTCTTTCCTTAGCTGTACCTCATCACTTGCCCTCTGGGTGAATAAGGATGTCACTTCCAGAGAAGGCTCTACAACAGTATACTAGAATATCCCATCACCCCAGCATTCCTAGATTCTCTTATGTAAACTTTGTTTATCAAACTGACCTGTGCTTTTAAAATTTGGCAGTGCAGAACACAAATCCCGTCAGAGCACTCATAAAGATAGAGATAAGTGTTTTTAGACTTTGCTGGAAAGTGGACAAGGGGAACCTGTGCTACTTCAAAAGAGACTGTGGAAAGACACCATCAGCTGGTGTCCTCAGACTGTGGACCATTTCTGGGGGCAGACAAAAGGGAGTGTAATATCTTTTTCCACTTGATGGAAATTAAGTAGTAAATTAAACTAATGAGTTGAAGACTTACTGGAGGCAAAATAATAGACAGTTGATCTTCCAGGGTATTCTCTGGTCTTACCATTTAATTAATTTCTATCATCTGTCTGCCAGTAAATACTCATGAGTCATGCCCTCATATCAGCTCTCAACAAAGCCACCTATGTCTCACAACTATTATTGCAAGTGGCATTTTATAGTATTATTTATACCGTCTTGTCTGATACCCAGACTCTAATGTGACTTCTACAGATGCACGGGTTAAAGTAAGAACGTTCCAAGAAAGGCATTTTTTAAGACACCTTATACCTCTGATCCTTTAATGAGGCAGTGGGATGTCACCTGCTTTCTTCTCAGCTTTTCTAGAGCTCGTTTCATATCTGTATTTCTCAGCGTGTAGATGAGAGGGTTCAGCATAGGTGTGATCACTGTGTAAAACACAGAGACTACTTTATCCACAGAGAAGGTGCAAAATGGCCTCAAGTAGATGAATACACAGGGCACAAAGATCAAGCTGACCACTGTCAGGTGAGAGGCACAGGTGGACAGTGCCTTGCTCTGGCCCCGATGGAGGTGAGTTCTCAGAGCGAGTAGGATGAGAGCATAGGAGAAGAGCAGGACCAAGAAGCAGGCAAGAGACAATATGCCACTGTTAAAGACCATCAGCACCTCAGCCAAGTAAGTGTCCATGCAGGCCAGCTTGATGACCTGAGGGACATCACAATAGAAGTTGTCCAGTTCACTGGGACCACAGAAAGGCAGTTGGATGACAATAATGAGCTGTGTGATAGAGTGGATAAAACCTCCACACCAGCAGGCAAACACCAACCGAAGACGCAGGTGGTTATTCATGACCGCTAGGTAGTGCAGAGGGTTGCATATGGCAACATACCTATCATAGGCCATTACAGTCAGCAGAAACATCTCGCTGGCTCCCAGAAAGTGAAGGAAGAAAATCTGGGCCAGGCATCCTGAAAAGGATATTGTCTTCTCCTTCTGTAGGAAATCTCCTAGCATTTTTGGTACAGCAACACAGCTCAGACATAGATCAATGAAAGACAGGTGACTTAGGAAGTAGTACATGGGAGACTGGAGCAGATGAGCATTGGCCTGTACCACCATCACTATCAAAATGTTTCCCAGGATAATAACAGCAAAAATCAATAAGAATGCGAAGAAGAGAAATAACTGTAGCTCCCAGGAAGATGACAGGCCCAGAAGAACAAATCGTGACACCTCAGAGCTGTTTTCATTTTTCTTCAAGCCAAGAATATTGAACGACCTAGTGTAAGAAAAATTAAACTGGATTAAGCTGATTAAATTAGGCAAATAGAAAAATGATGAGAAAGAACTTCTTGCTTGTCTGTATGTACACTGTGCAGCAGATATCAATCACACTAAACTGAGAAGAGAATTCTTCTTGAATAAGGAACTGCTTTGCTTTACAAAGACACAGACATTCTCCCATACCTCTCACCTTCCTTACCGCCCCCCCCCCCCAACAGAATCACTCCATAGATAGGGAAGCAGAAGCTCTATAACTGGAGGAGACAATGTTCTGTCTAAAGTCAGCTCTGGGAAAATACAAAATAAGACAAGATTAGTACTTTCTTTTTGTTTTTATACTTTAAAAAAAGTATTAAATTTTACTTATTTATTTTGTATATGTGTGTACATAAATGTGTGTGGGTACATGTGCACTGTGGAATACATGTGAAGGTCAAAGGGTAACTTTTGGAAGTCTGGTCTCTCTACCACATGGGCCACAGTGATGCAATCCAGGCATGGCAACTGTCATCTTTACCTGCTTAGCGATCACACTGATTTAAGTTTTGTATTTTCTTATTCCCACCAATCCACTCAATATTGTGGTTCTTTTGAGATATTCAAAGAATTTGTTTAATAAAATCATTTATACTCGATGCAAAAAATTGATATTGAATATGTGGAAAGGTATCTGAATTTCTAAAAGAAAAAAATATTTAATAATAAGAAATCTTTCTTCAAAATATTGTATTAATAATAAACATATGTGAGGAGGATTGGGGGCTGACATAGCTTTCTGCCACTGTGACTGTTCTCTCCACTATAGACAAGTCAAAAGTTCATCCAACTCTACAGTTTAAACTAGAAAATAAAACAAAGGAAAAACACAAAATGAGAAATATTGGCTTCCGTGTGTAGAGACTCTTGAGCTGTGCTATAGTGGGATTCCTCAGTCTTCCTTTGCTGTATCGAGAGTGAAAACTTTCTTGAACAAATGCCCTCTTGATGGTTTTTGTTGTTTCATGTGCTTTTTGAGGGAGGAGTCTAAAATGTTTAGTTAATAGGAATTAAGTGTTTATTATAACTATCAAGTAATTTCTAACATAATATTGTATATACTCAATAATCTATAAAGAACATATATAATAAATAAAATATGCATATGATATATAAACATGTACATATAAATCTCTAACATATAGATGTATATATATATATATATATATATATATATATATATATACATATGTATTCAAATTTGTGGGTTGATGAGATGGCTGCTGCCAAGCCCAATGACTAGAATTCAATCCCAAGACGCACATGGTAGAAGGAAAGAATTAACTCCAGCAAATTGTCATTTGACCTCTGTACATGTGCCACATATACCCATCCCCCGCATAGGCACACATTCACACACAAAATAAATTAAAACTGTAATTTACATTTTTATACTGAAGAATTTTCTGAGGTTTGCTTCCTATGGGAAGATGTAATTAATGTATTGCTTTTATTTCAAAAGTATAGGTCTACAGAGAGATAACCTTATATTAAAATAGGTAAGATTAAAATTAAACCATAAGTGTAGATTAAATAAGAATGTATAAATGTATTTAAGCCTACATGACTACAAGCCATTTAAAGTTTTAGTTAATGACCTACTTTTCTAAAGTAATATCTAATCTTACAGAATTTCAATGCTATTTATATTTAGTTTCTAAGTTTTATTGTAATAATATCTGGCTAAGAATGCTTTCAAATTTTTATCGTTAAAAAGATATAATAATATCTTTTGTGTTTGATTATTTGAGTTATTGTTAAAGTATGGACTAGACAGTGCTTGCTATAGATTGTTTTTTGCTGATTCAAGTCATGCATTGCCTTCAGATAATATAAAACGTAATACCAACAATGCCCAGGTTACATTCAATATATGATAAAATTAGTCTGTTTTATAATATCTTGCAGCTTCTATGTTTCTAAAAATCTCTAATCACAGAAAGGTGATGAGCCTCTGAATGTTCTATGAAGGATACAGAATCCTTTAACATGAATGAACGCCTACCACTAGATCACCTTTCACTATCATATGGTCCTGTCACTCCCCTTTCCTGGTATGTATTAGAAAGAAATAAAATCAGGATCTGAAGAGATTTCTGATCTTCCAGGTTAACTGCAGCATCATTAATAAGAGACAGAGAATGAGAACACTCAACCACCCCATCAACTGATGGACAGATAGACATAGACACAACAGCACAGTGTTTAAAAGAAGATGAAATTCTGTCATTTGCAACAACATAGAGAGAACTGGTGAAAATTACATAAGTGAAATAAGCCAGGCAAGAAAAATGATCCTGGTCTTACCCACATATGGAGTCTATGGAGTCTACAAGACTGAGCTCATAAAAGTTGAAACACAATGCTGATTGTCAGAGGTCAGTGGAGACGTTATGCATGTTGGAGAAAGGTTGATCTAATTACTGAGTACCTAGCTGTAATTAGATAAAAGAAAGTTCTGGTATGCAACAAACAATATGGACAGTCTCCTTTACAAAACCAGAAGGGATGGTGAACATTTTCACACTAAAACAAATGTTCTAAAATATTTTTAGAATTCACCTGATCTTCATCACACAGTGCACACATGTATCAAAGCATCATGCTTTCTGGTTAATATTTATGGTTTCTATGACTTATGTATAAGTTAAAAGTCAATGTGATTTCAAATTTTTCCCTCCTAAATTCTACAGAACTGGGCAAATAAACATTTCAGCTTCATTATCCCATTCCAGCCTATCAGCCTACACTTCATGCTGCATACCCCAGGAATAAGAGGAATTTTCAGAAGTCAGCAAAATGTGTTTATATTTACATACATCGAAGAATGAAAACTTCTAGTAGCAAATGTGTGTTTGGGGAAGGACCCCACTGCACAAAGGGAAAAAAAACAAAAGAAGCTCTTCATATGATCCAGGTACTTACTAAGAGCTGGGCAGCTGGTCTCTGACCTTTCTAAACACAGATCTAAGGGCTGGAGAGAAGACTCAGCAGGTAAGGGCACCCACTTCTCTTCTAGAGGAACACCATTCACTCCCCAGCACCCACATGGTGGCTAACAACCATCCATCACTCCCTCTTCAGGGGATCCAACACCCTCTTCTGGATTTCAAGGATCCTGAAAATTGTTTTCTTAGATTAAAATGATAAATACCAGAGCATATAGATTAAAAGAATAAAACCAAAAAAGCATGTTAAGAGCATCAAAACCAGAAAGACCAGGATAGTGAGTGTGGTTTTCATAAACATTCTTTTGATGGACTTACATCATTGCTTATATGGAATGATGCGCTTTGATGAAAATAATGTGATATCTTGCTACTCACCACACCTGTGGTGGAGAACACAGTCATCTTCAGATAACCAGCCCAATCACCAAGACTGTTTCATAACAACTTCCTTATAATCCAGTCTCTAGTTAAATGAAGGCTGTGTGAAATAGCATTCCTGTCTCTAGGGCTCTGGCTCTGTATGAGAGTCTAGTGGTCATTACATCACTGTTCACACTAATGAGCGCTGAGATTCCCTGGGCTGCTGTTGTGTGAGGTACTTTCATCTCAGTTCTTGGTAGGAAGCTGACCTGCAATCTCTGGGCTCCAAAACTCTAAGGCCAGAGGCATAAACCAGCCCAATTTTAAAAATTTTTCTTTGAATTGATTAATTTGGAACTTTATCTGCCAACCAATTTCTATGTCTCAGTCTCTGCCTGAATGAAAAGTCTGCCTGTTTATAAACCAGCAATATTCCTGAAGGGATAGAAGTTGAAGTATTAGCACCAAGCTACCTGGAAACTGTAGAAGAAACATCCTTCATAACGTTACCGATCTTGATGCATACCTGAGTGTCTGGTAACACCTCAGGCAGCTTACCTGTGCTCACATACATATTTATCTAGAAGAAACAGTCATTATTTTTAGTGAGTGACAATTTTAATAAGTTGCTTTCCTCAAGGTATGATTTTTACATTTTTAGTTAGAATAGCAATTTATCACTTCCCATTTCTTCTCCCAGCCCCTCACAGATCCCCTCCCTCGAATCCCTCCCAAGTCTCCAGCAACCTCTCAACTTGATATTTTCTTTTTGTTTGATTATTATTGGTGTGTAAATATAAAGTATATATATATATATATATATAATTGTCAGCATAAAAGTATGTATGTATATAATTGTCAATATAAAAGTGTAATTTTAACAATAAAATATACAATTCTCAAATTAAGGAACATTAAGCACTCTTTTTAATCTGCTTGACTGTGAATGGCATACAGAAGATTAGCAAGGCCATATCAAATAAGATGAAAAATATTACTTTAAATAATCAGAAGACAAAATGAACAATGAAATTAAAAATAAATTAAGTATATTTTAGTTAATACCATGAAGAAAAATGTAATTTTGGCTCTTTTCTACCACATATAGAGAAAATTAATAAAATATAAGCAACCTCCAAAAAGTGTATTTCGGTGGTGGCGCATGCCTTTAATCCCAGCACTCGGGAGGCAGAGGCAGGCGGATCTCTGTGAGTTCGAGACCAGCCTAGTCTACAGAGCTAATTCCAGGACAGGCTCCAAAGCCACAGAGAAACCCTGTCTCGAAAAACCAAAAAAAAAAGTGTATTTCACAATATTTATTCATTGCACTTAAATTGTATTTGCCCCTACTTGTGTATATATGTATAGCAAGCACACATAATAAAAGCAAATTTTCTCATCATAAATATAGCAAATAGCATTCAATCACTAGTAAGGCCTGAGTCATAACATGCCTGAGAGTCACACAGTAGTTCAGGATAACATCTTCAATCCTTTTTTCATTTCTCCACTTCCAGTGTGCCAAGGATTGGTATTTAGACAGTTTGGAGGATTTTTGCAGGACTGCTTCTGGCATGCTCTTCGAACACTGTCCAGATATATCACTTAGATGAGAGTAAATAGAAGTCTAGTCTTGTAATAGTATCTTAAAATAAAAGTTATTGACATAGAGTCAGCATGGAAAACATACTTGGCATATTTTACTTTCTTTCTTCTACAAAGTTGAAGTTAGTTCTAAGATCCAAAGAACCTACCACTGACTTTCATGTTAAAATAAGTGCAGGACGTACAGCATGGCACCAGGAAGGTGCTTTCTTGTCCCATGGGCTCGAAGCTTCCTCTGAAAGTCAGGTACCATTAGACTCCTGTAACAGTCCATCAGCATAGGTTCCAGAGCACATTTAGGAAAATATATTATTGTTGCTCCTAGGGACACATAAGTCTGTGGCTTATCACCAGACATTATTAAGTCACTGACTGTCTTCTGCTTCTAGAAAGAAAATTAACAATCACGTTTTTCTGTAAGCAGTGTTTTTTGAATGCTTGACACTGGCTGTTATTGTATTTTTAGGGAACAGAGCTAGAAAATTAGCACAAGAAAATTTGTATTCTAAGAGTACAGGGAATATAATCTAAGGAAAAAATAGATTTTTTTCTTCAGACTTGTAAAACTTACTGTTGCAACTCAAATTTTCTGTGGTTTCACGTTCTTTCACATTATGTCACAATGAAATATTTTTACTTTAAATAAATTATTCTTCTGTGGTGCTATTTTGTTTGTGTTTTAGCAAGTAAAGTTTGCCTGAGGATCGGGGTGCAGAGCGAAACCTCTAGAGGCCAGGCAGTGGTAGCGTACACCTCTAATCACAGAAGTTGAGAAACAGAGGCAGAGGGATCTCTACTAGTTCAGAGCCGATCATCCTGGGCTACATCAAATTGAATCTGTCTAAAAAAGAAACGGAATTCACATAAAGATTATCCCAGCACTTGAGATCCCACACCTTTAATCCCAGCTCAAGGGAGGTAGAGACAGGAGTGATATGGCTAGTCAGAGGGAGGCATATAAAACAGGAGGAGACAAGAGCTCGGTGTAGTCTGAGAATTGTCCTTGTAGTCTGAGGATACAGTCTGAGAAGACAGTCTGAGGACAAGATCTACTCTTTGATCTGAGTATTGGTAGAGGTAAAAGGTCTCTCTGCTGTCTGGCCACACTGAGTCTCTGATATTTCAACTTTCATCCCTAATTATTTATTAAGACTAATTAGAATGTGTGCTACATTCTTCTTTGATTTTAACAAACAAAAAAAACATTCATTATTTTGTAAACATGTTGTATTACTTGTATTACTTGTATAGCATAAAACATTAATGTCAATGACGTCTTTGAACTGAATTAATCACTACTTTTACTTATAACCATTGGAAGATAGATCTTTGATATTTGAGAGTTATCTGTCACTCATAAGTATCTCAGCATAGAAGGAATAGCACATATTTAACAAATACCTACAGTCACATATATTCCCCTTAAACTTTTGAGAAAAAGCAAAACTGAACAACTTTGATTGACCAAAAGGAAGGCAACATTTTACCAAATGGTAAAAAATAAAAATATAAAAAAAGGCAAGTTAAAAATTATACTCTTACATGAATAATATAACTAATATGTATTTTGCTTATACTTGTATATAGTTCACAAGCTACATACTTTTTCTTGAGTATATCTAAGTAAGGTGTCTTGTTTGCTTGCTTTTGTGCAGACATAGGAGTAGGTCTAGATGCCTGTGAGCACACATGTGAAAGCCAGAAGAAGGTGTTTCTTTACATATGCATCTCTTAACAGGTGTCTCTGCTAATTTCTCAGCAATATTGTGAATAAAGGCTAAGTTTAGATATAACAGCATTTGAAATAAGGTAGAGTATAAGAAGTCTATGAACAATACTCCTAAAATATTATTCCAGAAGAACAGATACTTGATACTTTCCAAAGAAGTAGCAGCTTTATAAAAGAGACATTGTTCTGTCTAAAACTACAAATTGATCCACATAATGATGGTGGGAAATTTCGATATCATACTCTCCCCAATACACAAGTCATATGGGGGGAAAAGCTAAGAAGAACTCCAAATTCAAATGATGTCATAAATCAAGTGGACCTAACAAAGCTACAGAACATTTCACCCAAACATTACACCTTACAGATTCTCATCAGCCATCTCTGATTGGTTACCTTACACCTTATACATTCCCATCAGTAATGCAGCTGTCTCCAATTGGTCACACACTAGAACACAAAAGAAATATCAACAAATACAGGAAAATTTAAATGTATCTTATATTTATTCTGACTAGAGTAGAATAAACCTGGATCTAAATAATAATAACAAATACAGAAAGTAAACACACTCATAGAAACTAAATAAAAACTATTAAATTATAATTGGAACAGAGATTAACTCAAGAAAGAATTTTTTAATTATATAGAAATAAAAAAAAATCTAGGGGGTTAAGTAAAAGCACTCCTAACAAGAAAGTTTATAGCTCTAATTGCCTACACCTTTAAAAAAAGACCAAGAAATATCTCATTAATATCTTAGGGATATAACTGAAAGCCTTGGATAAAACACAGCAACTAAGACCCGCAAAGAAAGTATACAGGAAAAAGTATTCAAGATTAAGACTGAAGTTTGTAGGAGCAAGGGAGGCCACTTGTTGGTTCCTGGCTGCCCAGCTAGCTTAGACCCAAAATAATCACACAGAAACTGTATTAATTAAATTATTGCTTGGCCCATTAGCTCTAGTTTCTTATTGGCTAATTCTTACATATCAATTTAACCCATTTTTATTAATTTGTGTATGGCCACGTGGCTGTGCCTTACCAGTTAAAGTTTTGCCATCTGTCTCTGGCAGGGCTACACAGCCTGTCTCTGACTCCGCCATTCTTCTCCCAGCATTCAGCTTAGTTTTCCAGCCTAGTTAAATTCTGTTCTGCAATAGGTTCATAGTAGTTTCTTTATTCATTAACAAATAAAAGCAATACATAGATAGAAGGACCTCCCACATCATTTCCCCTTTTCTGTTTAAACAAAAAGGAAGGTTTTAACTTTAACATAGTAAAATTAAATATAACAAAACAGGTATCAAACAAGAACTATAGTTACAATATTTATATATACTTTTTATCTATTTTTCAACTTCATCAAAGAATTCAGAAGGATATAATATTGCCTACCTAAGTTAACAGGAAGTGCATCATAAGCAACTTCCAAAACTCTAGAAGTGACAGAAACATCTCACTGCCTGGACAGTTATCCAAAGTTCTTCTGTAATGTTGGGACATCCATCTTCAGCCTACAGGCCCATAGTATCCAGCAGACTTTTCCATGAAGCAGGGAATTTCAAAGACAGTTTTGCCTATATTAGCAGTGTGTCAGTCACTTTCTTCTGTGTCCTGAAAAATGTCTGGCAGACTTTTTCATGAAGCAGGAACCCAACAAGGTCATGTCACTTTTAGGCAAGTTCAGCAGTCATTTCTCTGCAGATCCTGCATGTCCAGTTTATAAAGCAGTCTAGACAAGAGCAGTTTCTTGTCAATGGTCAACCAACTCCTTAAGGAGCATCTTTAATGCCCATATTCCTCTTGAAGTAGATTGGTGCTTCTAGGAGCAAATGTGTCTCATTGTCATGAAAAGTCCTAAGTTCTTAAACTTTTTAAATGCCATATTATGTAGTCTTTGAACGATATGAAGAATACCTATCCATCTGAAATATATATCTGTCCATCTAGAAAATCTAACTAATATGACTACAAGCTTGATGACTATTAACTTATATTTCTTAGTTATACATTATGTTTTTAAATGAACTGCATAATTACAATACCTCAATCAAGAGCAGAAATATACATATAACACAATTGACCTTAAATTTGTATCAATAAACCAAGATCCATATCAATGCAAATTATTTATATCTATATCATATCCCCCTTCAAATGTAAACAAACATTTATAGAAATATTTAGGAATATGGGTGTCATTTTCTCCATACAGCATCCTGATGAGTTTTGGGCATAGTGATTTTTGGGGGTGTTTACAATGACCTTTGGGAGGTCTTGTTCCATCAAATCACAAGTTTGGAAGCAATCCACAGGTTCTCATTCTGTGTGGACACAAGAGAAGAATCTCTTTTCTAAAGCAATATATCCTTAGACCCAAATTTGGAAGTCATGATAACTTTATAATATACATGCTGGTTTAGCTTAGCAGCCCATACAAAGAAATGTCTCTCTGTATTTAGCTCTTTCACAGTCAAAAAAATTCAAAGATAATACAATAATATATATAATCCAGACTCTCTGTGAATTTTCCATTTTTATGTCTCTTGTTTTTCTTTACTACTTTTAATTTATGACTATCTATATTCTGTCTCTTTAAAGATGTTTTTAAATGATTTACTTCTTTTCCAACACTCTATATCCTTTTTATTCTCTCTCCCAAGCCTACGTACATTTATCCAACATTGTGACCCACAAACCAAAAGGTGCCTCTGACATGTAAGCCCCTAGCTTGTACAGGTTATACCATAGCAACCCACTTCCCCTTTCCCTACAGAAAATGGGAAGACTATACTTAAATGAAAGCTCTTGTAAAATTTGCTTTTCTAGCAAGGTAATGGGTCATAAGAATAACAGCTATTTCTGCTTTTGTAATTAAACTTGCTTACTCTTTTCAATGATTAAGACAATTTCAAGACATATATGTTAAAGTTAGACCCCATCTACAGGTAGACAGAACCCATGACAGATCAAAATACAGTACCACCAATATCCAATTTGACAAACCAATGATACCCTGGGAAACAAAGAAAAAACAATCAAACAGGTAATGGAAACAGTTCAAGAATTGAAACCTAAAATAGAAGCAAGAAGAAAACACAAACTGAGAGCTGGCTGGATATAGAAAGTCTAGGTCAATGAACAGAGACTACAAAAACAAACATAACCAATAGAATACAAGAGATAGAAGAAAGAATCTCAGATTTTGAAGACACCATAGAGAAAATAAGCACACTGATCAAAGAAAACAGCAAATCCAACAAAATCTCATCACAAAATATTCAGGAAATATGGGACACAATAAAAAGACCAGACCTAAGAATAATAGGAATAGAAGAAGGAGAAGAAGTGCAGCTCAATGGTCCAGAAAATATATTTAATAAAATTATAGAAGAAAACTTTCCCAACCTGAAGAAAGATGTACCTATGTAGGTTCAAGAAGCATACAGAACATCAAATAGGCTGGATCAAAAAAAAACATCCCCTCACCATATAATAATCAAAACACAAAATATACAGAATAAAGAAAGAATATTAAGAGCCGCAAAGGAAAAAGGCCAAGTTACTTATAAAGGTAAACCTATCAGACTTACACCTGACTTCTCTATGGAAACCATGAATGCCAG